AGTATACTTACAAGTATATTATTGAAAGAATCGACCAGAAACTAACTAACTGGAAAGCTAAAACCCTCTCCCTTGCTGGCAGAGTGACCCTGGCCATCTCTGTGCTTAACGCTCTTCCGACCTATGCTATGCAAACTACGTTCCTCCCTGCTTCTATTTGTGATACAATTGATAGGAAAGTTAGAGCTTTTGTATGGGGTTCTGGGGAGGGAAAGAGGAAGGCTGACCTGGTTTCTTGGGAAAACATCTGTAAACCTAAGGAACAAGGTGGGCTGGGGTTGAAGTCTGCTAGACAAATGAATATGGCTTACATGATTAAGCTTGGATAGAACATGCTTAACAAGTAGGATGATCTGTGAGTTCAGGTGTTGCAGAGGAAGTATTTCAAGATGAGGAATGGTGAGATCCTCTCAATGAAGAAGAGTAATCATTCCAATCTGTGGAAGGCCATGGTCAAAGGAATGAATCTGATGAAGCATGCTACCTGCTGGAGCATCCGTGATGGCCAAGCCACCAAGTTCTGGACACAAGCATGGGTTGACAACGACATCATCCTAGAGGACTTTGCTCTTGATGATGTACCTGAAGAAGAGAAAGATTCTGTTGTTGCCAACTGGGTCACTGAGGGAGGTAAGTGGGATTGGGGGAAGCTTAGAACTGCCCTCCCTGATTGCATCCTTTCCTTGATTGCAAGTGTGGAAGCCCCCAACCCAAACCTGGGTGAAGACACAAACATCTGGGGACTGGAGTCAAGTGGTCATTTCAGCTTGAAATCAGCATACAACCTTGCAGCTGAGGAAGTGGAGGAGGAAGGAGAACCAGAAAGAGGCTGGAAAGCTCTTTGGAAATGGAAGGGCCCTAGCAGAATCAAGCATTTTATCTGGCTTGTCATGCATGAAAGGCTGATGACCAACAAAGAAAGGAGAAGAAGAAAGCTCACCACCAACAGTTTCTGCAGCCTCTGCAAGGATAAAGAAGAATCCATTGACCACATTCTGAGAGACTGCAGCAAAGCGAGGGAGATTTGGGATTCTTTTCCCTGCAAAGTTGCTGCTAATAGCACGAACCTACCTTTGAGGGAATGGCTGCTAACAAACCTTTCTCAGGAGGAGAGTGCTACTGGTTTTGGAATCATCATATGGCACCTGTGGAAACAAAGAAACGAAGAAGTTATGGAGGGGCGCGCCTTCTGCAAGAAAGGCTTGATTGCCAGGATTAAAGCCTGGTTCCACATTGTGGAACAGGCACACCAGAATGTGCAGAAAACTTCACTTACCAGTAGGACTGCAGGCTGCACAAGATTGGTCTGCTGGGTTCCACCTGATGAAGGATGGATCCAGCTGCAAACGAACGGCTCTGTGGTCACTTCGACTGGGAAAGCTGCTGCTGGAGGACTTTTCATAAACAACTTGGGACAATGCAAAGGGGCCTTTTTCTGCAACCTTAGTTCGTGTTCCATCACTGCTGCTGAGCTCAAAGGCGCGTTGGAAGGGCTCAAAATTGCGTGGGAGAGAGGGTACAGGAGGATTCAGCTCAAACTGGACTCTTTGACTGCCCTTGAAATCATCAAGCAACGCCAGAACGACAACCATCGACATGGAAGCTTGGCTAAACAGTTTAGCTATCTTTTGAACCTCGATTGGGAGGTGACAGTTTCTCATGTATATAGGGAAGCTAATTGTGTCGTCGATTTCTCGGCTAACAAGGCACATGACTTTAATTTTGGCACACATCCTTTCAATGTGTGCGATTTGGACTTCGTCCATGGCTTCGCCACGATGTAATGGGAACTTCCCATGAACGTTTTACTGGGACCGGTTAGCCTGACTACCCCTAAAGGGGTAGTCATTTTCGACACCCATCATTTGATTGGTCCATTGTAGATAGTCCTAATCTAAGATTAATTGCTTACAGTTAGTAATTATTGATAATTAATTGCATAGAAAAAGAGAAAGAAGTAAAAGTGGCGACCCCACCCATAATTTAAAATTCATTCCCTCTTACCTTTTTCACTTTCACCGTTTCAGTTCCCCTTCCCTTCTATACCTCTGCCTCCAGAACCCACAAAGAACGCTTCGCCGCCGACTCATAAAATCGCCGCCGTAGACCCTAATCTCCTTCACAAACTGCGGTCGCCCACTCCCTCCCGTCGGAAGTCGTCTCTCTTTCATCCCGAACCATAGACTTCAGCACCCGCCGCAACCCTTCGACGCCGACTCATCACTACCCCTTCGCAACCCTTCGCAACCCTTCGGCGCCGCCGTTAAACATCATCTCCTTCACAAAACAGCCGTCGGCCCGTCGGAAGTCGTCTCTCTTTCCCCCCGCTACATCGACTTCGAACCCGCTTGAGCGATTCCCGTCCACGATAGTATAGCTGCGACAGAGGCTATATATTTAACGATAGCGGCGCCGGCGTGATTTTCCCCTTTAATTCATCCTAAACTGAGGCAAGTATACTCCGAATTCTTTTATTGTTGTCGTCTCTTTCATTACGGCATTGCATGTTGTTTTCTGATTGTCTTGCGCAGTGCATGAAATTTTTTGATTGTCTTGTGCAGTGGTAGTTCTATCACAGTAGTGGTAGTTCTATCACTGTTGTGGTAGTTCTATCACTGTAGTGGTAGTGTGGTATATCACTCTAGTGGTAGATGTGTAAGTATAGTTGTATATCTAGCATTATAGTCGTAAATCCTTCACAAGCTAATGATTGTCTATCGCTGGATTCGTTAAAATATCACTAAAGTGGTAGTTAGTTGTAAAGTTTATGTTTATAGGGCTATCACTGCAGTGGTATTTACAACTTATTTTTTGTTCTTGAAAGTACCACTACACTGGTACGTTTGTTAGTTCGTAGAATTGACTTATCTTCCAATTAAACCAGGAATGGCAAGGACAAAGAGAACTGGTCCTGAGATGCCTAATGCTTGATTGTGGAAATAGTTACAGACATGCTCGAGGACGAGAGTAACCTAATGCTTGAAGAGTTGACAGTTAAAGCTTCTGAGGCACACGAAACATTGTTCACTGCAGCTACTCAAGTGACCCAGCCATCCTTCGCCAACTGATTCTTTTTTGCTTATGATTCTAGTGGACTATTTGGTTATTTGAATTTGAAGGATAATTTGGTCTTTGTTTACATTTCGGACACCCGTGTTGAAACAACTTTATTGATCCTATGGATGGGAATTACCTATTATGGTGTCTTGTTTAATATTTGTGTTGTTTGAAAAACAGTTGGTAATTATAAACGCGTACCAGTACTCTGGTACATCTATCACTGCACTGGTACATGTACCAGTGCACTGGTACATCTATCACTGGACTGGTACATGTACCAGTCCATTTGTACATGTATCATTCTATGTGATAAATATAATTCAGAATATAACCAATATACGTTATATAATTTATCTCGCTCAACCACAGTTCTTTAAAAATGGAGCACAGTTCATAAAACGAAAAAAAAAAAACAGGATTCAACAAATAGAAGTTGACAGGGGATCACTATACTGGTACATCTATCACTCTACTGGTAAATGTACCAGTACTGTGGTAAATATATCACAACTTGAAACATCGTTATTTAATATTTGTGTTGTTTGGAAAAAGTTATAAACGCGTACCAGTATTGTGGTACATCTATCACTCCACTGGTACATGTACCAGTCCACTGGTACATCTATCACTGGACTGGTACATGTACCAGTCCATTTGTACATGTATCATTCTATGTGATAAACATAATTCAGAATATAACCAATATACGTTATATAATTTATCGCGCTCAACCACAGTTCTTTAAAAATGGAGCACAGTTCATAAAACGAAAAAAAAACAGGATTCAACAAATAGAAGTTGACAGGGGATCACTATACTGGTACATCTATCACTCTACTGGTAAATGTACCAGTACTGTGGTAAATATATCACAACTTGAAACATCGTTATTTAATATTTGTGTTGTTTGGAAAAAGTTATAAACGCGTACCAGTATTGTGGTACATCTATCACTCCACTGGTACATGTACCAGTCCACTGGTACATGTACCAGTCCACTGGTACATGTACCAGTCCACTGGTACATGTATCACTGGACTGGTACATGTACCAGTCCATTTGTACATGTACCATTCTATGTGATAAAAATAATTCAGAATATAACCAATATACATTGCCAAGATAATGATAATGATAATGGTAATATATGAACATCTGCCAGAAATCAACAGACGGCCGGCCAAGTAACGAATCATCTGCCGCCGCCGTCTCCGCCAGAGCCACTCCCAACTCCAACTCCTTTCCCAGCTCCGGCACCACTACCGACGCCAACTCCAACACCAACACCAATCCCAATGCCAAATCCACCACCGGCTCCTCCGCCACGTCCGCCACCGAGACCACCACCTGCACCTCTACCGCCCCCACCACCACCGAGACCACCACCTGCTTGCTCCTCCGCCACGTCCGCCACCGAGACCACCACCGCCAGCCGTGTAGTGATGAACCAGAGCTATGGTTCTCCACCGCGGCGGCGATGGGAAATAGCAGAGACGGGAAGCGGAAATAGAAACAAATGGAAAGGGAGTAGAAACGCCACTCTTTCCATCCATGGTTCCAGCTAAATTGCCCCACTTCCCGTGCATAATTAATATGCCAGTTATTCTTTTCTCCATCCATATTTATTTTCTCCAGCCATTAATAGTTGCCTGATAATTAAGTATACTTTGGACCAATCAAATGGGGGGTGTCGAAAATGACTACCCCTTTAGGGGTTAGCATAGTATCCTATCCCACGTTTTACTTCTAATGTGATTTAGACGCGCTGTCTTTCAACCAAAAATAAAAAAAAGTATTTCTTTAGAATTCAAACGGCTTCTGCAAAATCCACTGCGGGCCAAACTAGCCCATAGTAAAATAGGTGAAGAAGTCGTTTTAATTAACTGCAGCTTAAATTTCAAGAGCTAAGAGCTTCTCGCGGAGCTTAAGAAGAGAAGGTAGAAGAGAAAATCTAGTGAACCGTGGCGATGTCTCTAGACAGTTTCTCCGAATCCCTCTCAAATCATTGACTTCGTGATTCACAAAGCCAACGGCTTTCCTGGTAGATTCAGGTCTCGCCACCACCCTTCCCCCGCAGTACATCCAACCTCCGGAAGAGAGACTCCAATCCATCAAAATCACGCCTTCATCTTCAATCCCCATCATCGACGTCTCAAATTGGGACGACCCACGAGTTCAAGATTCGATCTTCCAGGCCGCAACCCAGTTGGGTTTCTTCCAGATCGTCAATCACGGCATTCCCTCCCAAGTTCTGGGCAAAGTCATAGACGCAGCTCATGGGTTCTACGGGCAGACGAACGAAGAGAGACGCAAGTACTGGAAAGGCAATTCCCCTTCCGAAACTGTCTTCTACACCACGAGCTTCAGCCCTCTGGCGGAGAAGGTCCTTGAGTGGAAGGATTTCTTGATGTTTCAGTTTGCTTTTGGGGATGGAGATGACGCCTCTTCTTCTGAGCTTTGGCCTCCTGTTTGCAGGTAAGCCCTCATGTCCTATGTGCTGCACAATCAGCGAATTTTGTGTACAGAGCTGATCTTGTGGGAGCAATCAGCTCGTGTTAACATCGTTGGATCGTCCTCTCGTCGTGCTTGTCCAGCTCACCAGCCGATTTTCATGTTATGGTGTGTATGCTTCAATCCACTTGTTTTGGCTGCGCTGTTCAATCTAATTGGTGTCTGCCTCTAGGGATGAAGTGGTGGATTACATGAGACGCGCTGAGCCGGTGATCAAGAAGCTGATAGAGGTGCTACTGAAGAAGATCAATGTGAAGGAAATGAAAGAGAAAGAGAGTTGCTTGATGGGTTCACCAAGGGTTAGCCTGAATTACTATCCAAAGTGCCCAAACCCTGAGCTAGCCGCCGGAGTGGGCCGCCATTCGGACATATCAACCATCACTATCCTACTTCAGGACGATACCGGAGGGCTCTATGTCCAGGCAACCCAAGGAGAAGAAGAAGAAGGTTGCGATTCGAATTCATGGATCCCAATTCCACCGGTCGAAGGAGCACTCGTGGTAAATGTTGGGGATGTGCTGCAGATAATGAGCAATGATGTTTACAAAAGTGTGGAGCACCGTGCATTTCCCAGCAAGACTAGGAACCGCGTTTCGGTTCCCATATTCGTGAACCCGGATCCTGATGCTGTCATCGGAGTTCTGCCGGAAGTTTTGGAAGGTGGGGAGAAGGCTGTTTACAAGTCTGTCCTGTATTCTGATTACTTCATGCATTTCTTTAGCAAGGGTCACGATGGAAAGAGTACCTTGGATTTTGCCAAGATATGAACGAGCTCTTGGCTTTTCGGATTCATGTTTACAAATAAGCATAGTTTGTTCGCAATTGAATGATGCACCATTGCTCATCTGCAGCTCAATTAACAAAACAAAAGAGAGACACAAGAATATGCATCACAACTAAAAGAAAAACTAGATAATGGGACACAAATGACAAAACACCCTAACAGTACCAAAGTCATCAATTAGACAATTACCATCCCAAGCAAGCCAAAAATCTTGAGCCAATCAAGTAACATTCATTTCTACCATTCTACGTCTGGTAGTCCTTCAATTCAGCCCGGCGTGACTAAATAAGAACATGAACGAGGGCCAGAGTATTGAAAATGACCAAAACCTTCACTACACAATCAGTAGGTGTCAAACTGGTAGCATTACAAAAAGGGACAAAATTGATGCTAATCTATCACAATTCACAAAATACAGGATGTAGGGATAGAATAGGCACAGCCGCACACATCAGTCTCATGAAAGTCGTAGCATAAGATAGAACACCATCTAACAGACCGGTGGAGCGCTCGAATTCTGCTAACCACACACCAATTTGGAACTCGTATTTCTCTGTGCTCACCTAAATCTATCATACGAGAAGTAGCTACCCCAAAAATTCTAACTCCGATCTACAACCCGGTTCTTTCTACCAAGGGGTTGTAAACAGTTTTTTTAACCCCCAACAGCATTCTTGTAAGCTCTATTTCTCTTTCCTTGCCAAGGACTCTCCCTTGTGCTCACTGCCTGCGGAGACCACAAAGCCTGCTCCAATCTGTGGATAGGTAGAGTAAAGTTTACTACTTGCACAGAAAACTCAGCCACATAAACTCACTCAAACACATGAGCAATTATGAAATTACCTGACAGTCTCTCAGTACAACCCGCTCTTGGATCTGGACATTGCTGCAAACTATTGAACCTTGGATTGAACAGCCATCTCCGAGGGTGACATGGTCCATGACAACCGAATTAACAATCTACAGAATAGCACAAGAGGAGGTTTATATCATCTTTCAGAACAAGCTGGTGATGGTACTTCCTTCGGCTCGAGCTTCACCAATGACAATTTTTCTTACCTTAACATTTGAACCTATCCTACAGTGGCGACCAATAACAGAGCGTTTTACACTGCATTTGTCACCCATTAATGATCCTTCGCCCAACATACAATGAGGCCCCACCTATGATTGCAAAAACATTCACATATCAAAAAGCAAGCATACCTTTTCTTCCACAGGTTGGCATATTCTAGTCACAGGTGAAATACCACTTATAAATCGTTCTAAAAGGAAGGTTGTTTCTACATGTGACTTACAGTAGTCTTTGATCCCAGATCTGCTGAAGGGTGTATGATGTTGTTATGAGCAGAGAAGGAATATCCAGAGAGATGGTTGGCTTCACCTATGACCTGACAATTTTACAGATAGATAATTAATTTCTGAAATGATAACGGAAAATTAGCAGTAAACTATAGATAGCTAGGTAACTGAAGAAGGGCTTCACAGCTATAAACACTCACATCACGGTTTATGTCACTGAATGCTTGAATGGAATTTAAGCGTACACAATACTTGCTGTTGCTAGCAATATAAGCACAACATTTATGAGTTCTTTGTGCTGTTGGAGATCCATTATGAATTGATTCATAAACTTCATGGAATCTCGGCGTAGATGCGTTAGCCAATATTTGAGATATTATAGCTTGGTTGCCCCGAGAAGTGAACTTCTCGTGTCCATTTTCTTCTGCTTGTGGAGTACCATTCAGTAGAATCTCTGATTTCTGTGTGTTCAAGCGACAGCAAACCAGTTTACTTCTCCATAACATCAATTAAAGCCCCTTTGAAAATCTGATCAGGAGGTAACAAACTAACCAACTGGGTCCGAACAAGATAAGGTAGTACATCCTGTCTCAAGCTGTGAAAGTTTGGCTTTTGTTCTAAAACCTCTTGCAGAACAGCCCTGGAAGATGAGGAGGGAAAATGAGAAACAGAATATATAATTGACAAAATTTGTATGCCTGGGCAAGTAAAATGAACAAACCTCTTGAACGCATACAAATGAGCATCCATAAGATCGGCTTGTATATCCATCTAATAAGGATTCACAGAAAAGATTGTCAGAAAAGAAACTGAAACAATATTCCAGAAAGTTATTACTTGCTTCTGAAATTGTAGCAAAAATAGTTTGATAATCAAGAGGGTAACTTCTTACTCCAACTAACAATGAGAATGCTAGCATGTAATGATTTTAGCCACGAAAAAATATTAGAACAAAAAACGACATGGGCGTGCACATCAACCAGTATTGATAAGTTGTCCAGTGGCTAATTAAGAAATGAAGTACAATGAAATGAAAACAATCAAAGTTGAGAATTTGAATCACTCCACTATGCACTGGGCCCGTCACTTTAACACAATAACTTCTGTAGGCTGTCTTAGGACAAGCATCACCATGAAATCCAATTTATGATTGAAATCATTTGACACTCATTACACAAAATGTTAGAAAAGGCTCACAAATGGATGGCTAGGTATTCACCTGACCAACAGCACGGAGAATACTCTTGGGGATGTGAAGATCCTTTTCGACTTCAGCTCCTGTGAAACAAATAAAAATTATGCAATATGATAACAATAAAACTAAATAAACCAGAAATTGCCATATATTTACCTGAGGCTATGTACAACAAAAACTGCTTTGTAGGGTCCAGCCCAATAATGTTGAATCGCTTGGGTTTCTTTATCTTGTCCTTAGCACCAGCTGATCCTGATTCTGCAGGCCCACTGATCGGTGTAGAGCAGAGCATTGTAGTAACTACAGCATCATGTCTTCTATGGGCAGCTGCAACAGCACCAGGAGGAACATCAGAAACAAGATCACCACTCACAACCTGCATACAAAGATGATACCTATCACCTTAGTCAACATTCTCTAATCACTAAAGTCGAATACTAGTACCGAGAGAAATGAATGCTAACCAAAATGTCATTTGCTGTCAAGTGGTGTGCGATAGCCCGAAGAGCACCAGCAGTTCCAACATCTTCAGGAACTGCAGCAACCTGCATTGTCACATAACATCCTTCAAACGCTATATACCAAAGAGAATCTAGTGCAGTTTTCATATTACTGGGGGGAAAGGACCGTTATAGCATTTGGTTTAGCATTATCAAAAGGATACACCTGGTTCAAAAGAACAAAGCTGGCAAATCCAGTCATAGGCTACTTGTGCTAAGAAGAGGGGGGAATATCATGTCACTGAACCAGCTATTTGATTATCAGGCTGTACCAATTTTGGTCATATAGTCCTATTATTTTTCAGTCACTTCTTGGTAAAAGAGTAAGAAGTGAATGAATGAGATTAATGAATCTATCAACTGTATAGATTATTCAACCTAAGCAATATATAAGTACTAGGACACCAAGCATAGAAGGGAGGTGATTTCAGTTGGCACATTTGCGAATTGCGACGTGCACCATCAAGTTAGAACCAAAAAGAAGGAACTTCATAAGAGAAACCGAATTATATAACCAAGGTTTCTCGAAACACAAGAAAACATGATTGACTTAATGAACTTAGTAGATTTGAGCACATCCAAACGCTTGACAGAACCATCATTTCTAGCCCACTCGCGTGATAGATACTGTTAGCAACAATCACAGCATTCTACTCCTAACATCTTGTCCATTTCATCCAATCCAGAACCATGAAATTAGACAAGTACCTCAACATGCAGACGATCTACATAAGCTCCTGAAATCCATCCACCAACTCGGAGAGCTGCATCTTCCCCTTCAACAACCTACACTAACACAGAAGATCATAAGAAAACACTTAAGAAAAGAAAGAGCTAGTAACCCTGAAAGCCCAAGACGAACCCACTAGTCCAACAACTCCTAATTCCCATGGAAACGGAAACAAAGCAATCAAACAACGGAAACTGGGAACGTGGGGCAAAGGAAACCAGAGAAACGAAAGAACGAAAGCCCACCACAATGAGATCCTTGAGGTTGCTGAGCTCTAATTGCTCCAGCACGTACGATAGAACCGGGCGGTTCGCCACAGGGAGCAGAGGTTTTGGCACTTCCTGCATTCAACAAGAAACAACAAACAAAAACCAAGAAGAAGATGACAAATTAGACTGAGGGGAAGGGGACCCAACTGATTGCTACAGAAGGAGAGACGTGAATGAAGACGAGAGGGCGAGGTGGGTGATCATCTGGAGGAGAAGAATTCCGTGGTTTCTAGTTCATTTGATTGCGGAAAAATTGGAAAATCACCTTGGAGACGAGAGGGACAAGTTCTTTCGAAGTGCCTCCGGCTAGCACGACGACCTGGAAATCCATTTGTTGAGCAGAATTGAAAGATGGAGGAAGGCGAGAGCGGGGAGGTGATGAAAATATGTAGAGAAAAGGGTTTTTGCTTTGCCCACTGTTTCAGAATTGAGTGTGACGGACGGGTCGGCGGTTCTGAAAATTCTAAATCTTCCAAAAGCGACGGAGGCTTTGAGTTTTAATATAAATATGTTAAGAATTGTTCAATCGGGGATGTAGCTCAAATGGTAGAGCGCCCGCTTTGCATGCGGGAGGTACAGGGTTCGATCCCCTGCATCTCCATATTCCTTTTATTGGCTGTTGTTTTCCATTTTTCCTCTATATTTGGCATAAAGCTGCTAATTCGACCTTTCCATTTTTTTTGTTTATGAAGCCTTCTCAGTTCTCATCTAATAGGCTTTGTCAGGCTATCTTAATTATTAAATTATATAATTATGTCCAAAATTTTAAATTAGTTGGAAAATATGGTTCCAGTTTTACATTTTAACCACACGATTTTCCCGGGCTGTGCATTTGAAGAGACTTGTATGCAATAATCGTTAATATTTAATTATCAACCTTTTATTTTGATATTAATTTAGATGAACGCCCACATACTTGTTGGTATGGTCTAGTTATTACATTACATGACTATGCCCGAATTTTTTAATTAATTGAAAATTGTGAGCCTAATATTTTGGTTGATTGTTAAACATGTAACCATCCTTATTATCATTAAACTTTTAATTATCAAGTCTTTTCTTTTGCCGTTGATTTATATGATTATCCTTATTTGGGTGTAACTTGTTCCACAAATCAAAAAGAGCTTGAACTATAAGTGTAACATATCAGTGGATTTTAATTGATATAAATAAATATGAAAAACGAAAAAAATCATATAATCCTATAAATTATTGTTAGATACCAATATAGGGATGACAAAAATATACGAATCCGGCCTAATCGGGTAGGGTAAAACCCGAACTCGAAAGACATTTAGTGTGTTCGGGTATCCGGCCTAATCGGTAGGGTGGTAAAACTCGGACCCGAAAGACATTTAGTGGGTTCGGGTATATCCCAAATCCGGCCTAATCGGGTAGGGTAAAATCCGAGCCCGAAAGACATTTAGTGGGTACGGGTAAAACCCGAACCCGAATATTGCGGATAATGGGTGGGCATGGGTTTCTCACTATCCAACCCAAACTTGCCCAATTATACACATGCATATGTATTTTGTCTAGAAATAATTATTATTTTTCTCGGACATATTTTATATTTAGCATATAAATATAATATTTTCATGAAATTGTGTTATTTTAATTAATTTTCTTTATTCTAGTGAATTATTGTCGTACTTTTCCTCTTACGTATTGTGAGAATACGTGTGAATGTTAACATATTGGTTGGAGTTATGAAGAGAAATTATTACTCATGAATAATCGTGGATACCTGAATGGGTATGAACCTGATTTTGATTTTCTACCCGTTTCTCATGTGGATATGAGTAAAATCCAAACTACTTTAATTAGGGTAATGGATATGCATTATCCGCTCCGACCCATTGCCATCCCTATACCAATAATGTACATATATTAGATATTTTGAGGCAAGTATAGATCTTAGCACCCAAACCTTGAATCGTATGGCTTACATGAGAAGGAATACTTATCAAATCTTCTGGCTAAAAAATCTAACTGCATTTGGTTATGAATGGAATGAAATTTCAAGAAACTTATATTCTAATTTATTAAGGATAAATGCACATTTGCTTACTGAGATTACTAAATCATGTTATGTTTAGTCACTAGAAAAAATTAATATAAATTTTGGTCACTCGAATTACTAAAACAGGTCACATTTAGTCACTCTCCCGTTAGTTTCCGTCCAACGGAGGCTAATAGAGAGTGACATTCATAAAAAAAAAAAGTAATTCGAGTGATCAGAGTTGGACGGAGGCTAACGGGAGAGTGACTAAATGTGACATGTTTTAGTAATTCGAGTGATCAAAATTGATGTTAATTTTTTCTAATGACTAAACATAACACGATTTATTAATTCCAGTAACCAAATGTGGCATTTGCCCAATTTATTAAGCATGCATTCAATTGTACTCAAAAGCTTCATTTGCGCCTTGTATTGTTGTATGGCTGAAATGGAAATACTATTCTCATGTGTAAAAGAATGCATAGTATAGGTTATCAAAATGATCTGATAGTATGAACAGAGTCACTGATTGATGAGGGACGAAGAGTATCGAAATTCTTGGGCTATAAGTTAGGGTATGGATAAAATACAAACTACTTTAATTAGAGTAAAATCCATGTGGATATGGGTAAAATCCAAACTTTTTGAGTCTTGAGCTATAAGTTATATAGTAATAATATTAAAAACTCTCAACGGCTTCACATATGCAACTCTTCTCGACCTAAAGAGGCCACTCTAGAGGCCGGATCTGGTGACTAACATATCGTTTGGTATAAATGAATTCCATAAATTTTAAGGAATTCATTTTGAAATGAAATCTTTTTTTGTTTGGTATTTAAAAGAATTCATTTGCAATTCTAAATTTTGAATTCTACGGTATTGGAGCTAGTTATAGCAATTCTGAGGAATTGAGATGTGATTTCCAAATGAATTCTACAAGAATTTACTAATTATAACAAAATTACATAATTATCCTCATTTATTAACTAAACTAATTCTACATGTGTTATTTGACGCCAGTTCGTGCAGTATTATGAACGTCGGCAAGAATTTGATTGCAGTGCTAGTAGCATATTCTGGTTATTTGATATTTCTGCTTTGGTTATATCAATATGTTGAGAAGCCACATCTAGAGTGTAGGGTTCATTGACAAAATATCGAAAGAACTAATGAATAGAATAGAAACACACAAGAACACTTTGATATTTTATGTATGGGACCAAAAGCATTTTTTAGAAGATGGATTTTCAATGAATATTGTTTCCAGCGAAAATTAATAAGAGCGTAGTTGGAAACTTTTAATTCAATTACAAACGTATGCCAAGCATGGTTTGGGAATTCAATTCATTTTATTTCTTAAATTTGAGTATTACATACCAAACACAAGAATTCATTTGACAATGAATTCTATATGGTAATTCATTTGACAATGAATTCTATATGGTAATTCATTTTAAAATGAAACGAATGCTAGATTCATTTGGTACCAAACGATATGTAAGAGGGGGCCTAAGGCATTTGACTAACCCCCTTAGTCACTTGACTAAACCCCTCCCAGTTCTTAGATCTAGACACAATAATTCAACTGTTAAAAAGGTGGAAGGGTTTTTTAATTAATGACAGACGTAGTTTGGGTATTATGAAAAAATATGAAGTATACAAACCGGACTTAGAAACAGTACAAACAATACAAACTAAACTAGAACTATGGCTGGCTATTTGGTCCGGACTGTTTGGCTTTACCCGAAACCGCACCGTATAACCCGGACCGGATAGCAAACAATCCAATCTCATATTTGGGCTTAGATTTGAGGTAAAAAAAAACCCGGATAAGAGACCCCCAACACCTAAAATCAAGATCAAATTAGGACCGGACCGGATCAAGACCGGACCGGATCAAGACCGGACTGTATCCAATCTTTGGTCCTTATATTCCCGAAAAGACCGGACTGGGACCGGATCAATTTGGTCCAATTTAACCGAACCGGACCGTATAGCCACCCCTAACTAGAATGACAAAACATACGAACATACTTACAAACAAATAATACAAAATATATGAACTATACAAACAATACAAAATAGACTAACAAACAATACAAACCATAAAATATGAAAAAACAACCTGATTGACTTTTGAGGCTCCATCCCTATACAGAGTGGTGTCATCCCATAGTCAACCCAAATTGTTTTTTTTACCTACAAACATTACAAACATAGTGGACACAAACAATACAAAATAGACCGAAAAACAATACAAACCATAAAAAATGGAAAACACTGGGTTAACTTTGGATGCTTCATCTCTATATAGAGGAGTTTCATCCAAAAGTCAACCCGTTTGTTTTTTAGATATAAAAAAATATTACAAACATGGGTGACAAAAATGATAAACATGGTGGACAAAAATAACAAAGCTTACAAACATTACAAAAGAAACCAACCAACATTACAAAATAAGAAAACTTACAAACATTACAAAAGAAACCGACAAATATTACAAATCATACTAACTGTACAAAATACCACTACTTACAATACAAATCGGTAAACTTATATTACAAACCAATGAATACAAAGTATACAAATCATAATATAAAAATATACAAACCTGACAAACATTACAAATTACATTATATACAAAATATTCATATAAACATTACAAATGAAATAGAGAAAGATGACAAACAAGAATAATAAACAATACAAACCAAATCAATATAAACATTACAAACTAGACTTATAAACATTACAAATTAGGTCGACAAACATCACAAATCCAACGTCGTCAGAATATCATCGCCTTCCTGCCTTCCATCTCCGGTCGCCGGAAAATCGTTACCTGGCGTCTCTGATAGCCAAAAAAGCCTCCTCCGTCGTCGCCGTAAATCTCTCTTTATCTCTCTCGTAGCTGTCACTTAGGGGGAGGGGAATGGGGCAAAATAACAGGCCGCCTCCGCCGGCGGAGTTTTTCTCTGAAACAGACCGGCGGTCGAGCGGGAGGGGCGAATGAATTTTTTATTATTTTAATTGTAAAATAAATAAACTATGTAATTACCACCTTATCCTTCATTAAAGTAGATTAATTTGAACCATCAGGTTTTACTGAAACTCAATAACTAATATTGACTTAGTCATGTGACTAAGTGACCCCATTAGTCACCTGATCTTAGCCCAGCCATTTTAGCCCAACATTAACAAAAAAAACCATCATGGATTAGTACAAATTTTATAATTTTGCTTTATCTCAGTGTCCTCATTAGTCACCTGATCTTAGCCGGCCATTTTAGCCCAACACTAACGAAAAACAACCATCATGGATTAGTACGAATTTTATAATTTTGCTTTATCTCAGACGAACAAGCAATAATATGCTTTGGAGAGAAAGCCTGTCTCCGAACGTGATGATGCTCTTTTGCGTTAACCAATTATTATATATCTCGGATAACGTATACATGGGATGGATAATGGAACGTTTGCTTAGTTAGATTTTTTTATTTTACAAAATATATTCATATATTGATACCAAAATTGCTCTAGTGCATAATTTCTTGTTTAGTTTAACATATAGCTAGCTTATATGGGGAAATAATACGAACATAAGCTAGCTTCTGAATGGTGTTGGGCTGTGAACGGCCCGAAACACTAGAAGCCCAACTACTCGAGGGACGGCCCAAACTCATTCTGCGGAGAAACGGTAACGCGCTCTTCTTACCTTTCTAACGGCTACAAAATTCCAAACTGTAAAAATCCCTTTTAGGAGCGCTTCCCTCCCCGTACGGGATAGAGATTATAGCCGTTAGATGCATTCAAATCCAACGGCTTACAAGGGAACAATAATTCGACCGTTGTGAGAGAAAGGCCCCCCCCGCTCGTCCTCGCTTCATAAGGAAGCCTCTTACTTACCACAGTGGCTCCTCTTGTCGTCTATACATTCTCTCTCGAAAAGTTTCAGAATTTCCCAGAGAGCAGAATCCGATTTACAGAGAGAGAGAGAAAGTAGAAAGAGAAACAGAGGGTTGTGAATCGGAGATACGAGGGTGGCGACGACGGTGGTTTCCGAGGAGATAGGCGGAGGAGAAGGCGAGACTACCCGTACCGGTCTTCTCCCCGGATTTATTTCGTCCCTGTTTGCCAGAGTCTTCCGAACGAATCAAGAAGAAGTAGAAGAGGAAGGAAAAAGATCGGAGGTGATGGATGCCAGAGCAGAACAAGTCGTTGATGGTAAATTTGACTACGCTTGGTGTTGGTTTCTGATTTGAGTCCCTTTTCTTTGGTTTTCTTTTCTTCTTGCTTGGTTAGTTTGCTAAAGGCGGGCGGGGTTTTGATTGTTTGAATTTGAACTGTTTTAAAAGAACTCGTTTCTTCTGAGGGGGAACTTTTGGATCCTGAATTTGAGTTGCAGAAGTAATGTTCGACGATATGCCTTGCTGGGTTTTGATTGTTTGAATTTGAACTGTTTTAAAAGAACTCGTTTCTTCTGAGGGGGAACTTTTGGATCCTGAATTTGAGTTGCAGAAGTAATGTTCGACGATATGCCTTGCTGGGTTCTTAAGAAAGTTCAGTTCTTTCACATGGGTTCTTGTTTTTGTTTCGTTCGATGAATAGGAGGATTTTCTGGGTTCGACTGAAGGAAATCAGGAAGAAGCCCCTTTTTTACCCTAGAAACCTATGATCGTTCTTTGAAATTCCTCTAATTCGTATTGTTCCAAGGGGGTTTCTCCCGTTTCTTGGCCAAGTCTGATTGGTTTTCAAATTTCCCATTCGTCAGTAAAGATCTGGGTGCTTATTTTTCTTGGGTTCGATGCTGTCAGGCGAAATGAAGCAGAGGAACGCAAGAAACAGGAGAGTTCTTCAAGACATTGGTAACCTGGTGATTGATGGCGGAGATCAAGGGAAGAAGGTATGCAAAAAGAGTTTTTTCTTTATATATGCAACATCGGATCAACGTACATACAGTGTTATTACGTTCTAAAACTGATTTCTGGGGCGTGTTTAGCAGAAGGCAGTTGCTGGCCGTGGAGTGCCGCGTGCAGCAGGAGCAGCAACGAAAAAGGAAGCTGAGAAGAAGCAGCCACCACCACACGAGGTCATCGTCATAAGTTCTGATGACGAAAGTGAGAAGAAGCCTGCTGCTAAACCTGTTACCAAAAGGGTTACAACACGGAAGGATGTCAAAACTGTCACCGCAATCCTCACTGCCCGAAGCAAGGTTTGAAAAACTATCTTCTATTGAGAATCTGAAACTCTGTATTCTTTACTGTCAACACTAATATCTTTGTAATATATGATGGATTATAATAGGCTGCTTGTGGAATCAAGAACAGGCCACAAAATCTGGTGGCAGATATAGATACTGCTGATGTGAACAACCATCTCGCTGTTGTGGAGTATGTTGATGATCTCTACAATTACTACAAGCTAGCAGAAGTAAGTTCAAGAGGAATTTGGTTGTGATGGTCTATTGCTCTTTTGCTTTGTCCCTTTCTTTGCCTTGTCTTCCTTCATTTGGGGTCATGATGGAGCTTTTCTATTTGATGGATAAACAGGTTGACAGCATAGTTCATGATTACATGGACACCCAGCCAGAGATTAATGCAAAAATGAGATCAATTCTGGTAGACTGGTTGATCGAAGTTCACAGGAAATTTGAGCTGATGCCTGAAACTCTGTACCTCACGTTGAACATTGTGGACCGCTTCCTGGCGGTGAAAGTTGTGGCGAGGCGGGAGCTTCAGTTGGTTGGCATGAGCGCAATGCTGATTGCTTGCAAGTACGAGGAGATATGGGCACCACAGGTGGAAGATTTCGTTTGCATATCAGACAAAGCATACAATGGAGCACAAGTGCTGCTGATGGAGAAAGTAATACTGCAGAGGCTGGAATGGTACCTGACTGTTCCTACGCCATATGTGTTCTTGGTCAGATATATCAAGGCTTCTCTCCCATTGGACACTATGGTGCGTCACACAAGTTTCTGTACATCATTTTACATGTTTCATTCGATCCCACTTTTTGTTCATTCGTTCATGTTGTGAATGAATAATGCAGACAGAGCAGATGAGTTTTTACCTGGCAGAGCTGGGGCTGGTGCATTATTCAGTAGCTGTCTTCTACAGCCCGTCCGTGATTGCTGCTTCAGCTGTGTATGCTGCTCGGTGCACCCTCAACAAAACTCCATTCTGGGACGAGACTCTGAAACACCACACTGGCTACAAGGAAGAGCAACTGCTGCAATGTGCAAAGAATCTGGCTAAACTGCATTCAGCTGCAGCTGGAGAGTGTAAGCAGTTGCAGGCTGTCCAAAACAAGTTCAAAGAAGCAGGACGTGGAAGGGTGGCTCTCTTTCCTCCTGCCAAAGTGCTCATTGACCAAGCCTTGGATTAGATTAGATGATGGTGATGGAGGGATCATTTCTAAATGATGATCGGTAGTAGTTTGAATCCTGTTCGGATTGTTAGTTTCTTTTTAGGAAAGGAGTGCGTGCAACTCGGATGTATTCCTCCACTAGAATGATGTCATTGCTTTCACCGCTGGGGTGCGTACAACTCGGATTTTATGGCTTCATTGCTAAATGAAGTTAAATGTGTGCCAGATAAATCTGATGATTGCTTTCTATAAAATCATCTGATTCTATTGACAAAAACATCTGGCGTTTTGTTAAACCTGCTTCTTTTTTACTTGCTGTATTTTCACACTATGTTACTGCAATTGAAAGAGGCATCTTGTAGGTATATACAGTACATATTTCAACAGTGATGATGTTTATAGACTCATCTGTGATGAACATTTACAGTGTTGGCAGTGCTTGTACAAAAATGGTCAAGCATGTTGTAGGTATACAGTACTTTCAACAGTGATGAAATGTTATAGAAATGAAACAGAGATGAACATCTACATTGCTGGCAGATTGATCTGACCAAACCAGAAGAAAATTCTAATAAAAGTTCCTTTCTTCTGCCCATTAGCTGTAACTTACATGGACTTGTCCTGTGTTCCTGCTTGGGTTAAAGATGTCGACTTGCAATCAGACAATATCTCGATTCTTCTCTTCCTCAAGCTTTTTCTTGGCTTCAAACTTTTCTACAGCTCTTCCTCTTTGTACTTAAATTCTGCCTTCCCGTGATCCACTTCCCTCACCAATTCACTCATAATTCTATCCTTCTCTTCCACCAAACCCATTACCAGAGTCAGCTCTTCCCTGGCTTTTTGCAACTCCGACTTGCAATCCTCTGCTTGCAACACCTTCTCCTGCTCACAAAGCTTCAGCTCTTCCTCTTTGTACTTTAATTCTGCCTTCCCATGATCCACTTCCCTAACCAATTCACTCATAATTCTATCCTTCTCCTCCACCAAACCCATTACCAGAGTCAGCTCTTCCCTGGCTTTGCGCAACTCTGACTTGCAATCCTCTGCCTGCAACACCTTCTCCTGCTCCTCAATAACTCTGTTCTTCTCCTCTAGCAGTTTCATACAAGCTGACAGCTCTACCTCCATCTCCTTTCTAGCAGCTTGACAATCTTCCAACTTGTTCCCATTCTCTTCCAAAAGGAAGTCCAGTTCATCAATCAGCTTATTGTTCTTCTCCAGTCGATGCACATACGATGAAAGCTCTTCTTCCATTACCTTCATCTGCCGCCCACAAGATTCCACTTCCTTGTTCCTCTCCTGAACAACCCTCCTGGACTCCAAGACCTCTTCTTCGAGATTTTGTATTCTCGATTTACATGCTCTCAACTCTTCATCTCTCTCCCCCAATAGCTTCTTGAGAGCAAACAACTCTTTGGAACTGTTCCCGTTCTCTTTCATAGCAGCCTGACAATCTTTCAACTTGTTCCTATTCTCTTCCAACAGGGAGTCCAGTTCATCAATCAGCTTATTGTTCTTCTCCAGTCGATGCACGTACAATGAAAGCTCTTCCTCCATTACCTTCATCTGCCGCCCACAAGATTCCACTTCCTCGTTCTTCTCCTGAACAACCCTCCTGGATTCCAAGACCTCTTCCTCGAGATTTTGTATTCTCGATTTACATGCTCTCAACTCTTCATCTCTCTCCCCCAATAGCTTCTTGAGAGCAAACAACTCTTTGGAGCTGTTCCCGTTCTCTTTCATAGCAGCCTGACAATCTTTCAACTTATTCCTATTCTCTTCCAACAGGGAGTCCAGTTCATCAATCAGCTTACTGTTCTTCTCCAGTCGATGCATGTACAATGAAAGCTCTTCCTCCATTACCTTCTTCTGCCGCCCACAAGATTCAACTTCCTGGTTCCTCTCCTCAACAACCCTCCTGGACTCCAAGACCTCTTCTTCGAGATTTTGTATTCTCGATTTATATGCTCTCAACTCTTCATCCCTCTCCCCCGATAGCTTCTTGAGAGCAAAAAACTCTTTGGAACTGTTTCCATTCTCTTTCATAGCAACCTGACAATCTTTCAACTTGTTCCGGGTCTCTTCCAACAGGGAGTTCAATTCATCAATCATCTTATTGTTCTTCTCCAGTCGATCCATGTACAATGAAAGCTCTTCCTCCATTACCTTCATCTGCCGCCCACAAGATTCCACTTCCTTGTTCCTCTCCTGAACAACCCTCCTGGACTCCGAAACCTCTTCTTCGAGATTTTGCAATCTCGATTTACATGCTCTCAACTCTTCATCCCTCTCCACAGATACATTCTTGAGAGCAAACAACTCTTTGGAAGTGGACTCGAATTGGGTTTTCAGAGTACTGAGTTCCTGTTCCTTTAATGACAAAACTTTATTAGCCCATGAGAGGTCCTTGTCCTTACCCTTCAACCGTGCCTTGACGGCGTCCAAGTCCTTCTGTCCCTTCATCTTCACCCCATACTTGGACCAATCGAACAGGGTATTGGTCTCCACTCCACAATAATCGCCGGCCTTGGAGCTGCAGACGAAGCAGGTGCCTTCATAGTTGACTCTCAGATTGTAGAACGACTTGGCATTCCTGGGACGAAGGTCCTTCACGAGCTCTATCAACCGCAGGCCCCGGATGGTCGTGCCTAGGACCTCTAGCTCCTTGTACTTGCTGCGGGGGCTACTGCCTATCTCTGCAACGATCGATGCGCCTTCTAGCGAGTACTCCAAGACGTAGATTGTGTTGTTCTCCAGGTGCGAGTTGTGGGCGTCGATGAACTGGTTGACCGCGCTCAACTTAAAAGTTGCCATTGAAATTCCCCAAGAGACCTGTCAAGAACCCCTTGTTCATGACCAGCGATTTCATACCAGCCTTCGTCACCTAAGAGTTTCGTGATTACGCCCCCAGGAACCCTGAGCCAACTGAGACATATAATCAAACACCTTGGGTGCAAAACATTTTGTTCAATTAACTAACGCAACATTGACGACATTCAAACGATTTGGGGGAAGAAACGAAACAAAACGAAGAGAAACGAAGCCGTTAATAACGAAATCTACCTGTTGTTGAATTCGCGCCGGCCGTTGTTTCGAAAACTCGCCGTGAAACGACGAAGCAGATGTTGGTTGATGAACAGCCGAATTTGAAATCAAAATGACGCAAGGAACCTATAAATTTTGGAATTGGGGGAAGCGTGGACGAAGGCTGGTATGAAATCAGCTGATCATCGATCTGTCCTTGTTCTCTATTCTTTTTAATCCTTGTTCTCCCTTTCCATTGACATTATCTCCTTAATATTTGGTGAAATAATTTCATCCTATTTTACTATTTTAGTAAGTCCCGTCCCATCTGTGTTCAAAAAAAATTAAGTCTAAAAACTTTAGGTTTAAAATTAAAACTAGTGATATTATAACTAAACTAAATTTTTGTTAATTTATGTTGAATTTTAATTCAATATACGATACTAATTGGCACCCAAACATGACTAAATTATTGTTCACTTTCGTTGAACTTTAATCCAATGTACGGTTCTCATGGGCACCCGAGCACGGCGAAAACCTTGTTAACTTAGATTGAACTTTAATCCAATGTACGACGCTCACTCGCTCCGAACACAATGAAATTAAGGATGAATAGAATAGGAGTTTATACATTGAAAGTGGAATGAGATAAATTTGAGCAATGTATCTTTGTTGGAGCGGTTAGCTTATCTCATGTTAATAGCAACCCGACTATTGTGTTCACAAGCATAAAAAATTGTTGGATTGGGTGAAAATAACTTGCGAGTTCGAATACATTTAACACAAGTTAATAAATAAAACTCAATTGTATTTCACAATGGATAACAACAAATCGAAACGGATTTGAGTCATTTATTTTTACCCTTTTGATATAAATTTCACAAACGATTTACAATTCGAGTTCCACAACATCCCTCCCAACTTCCATCTCCTCCAAAACCCTATCCTTCATCTCCAACACCTTATCCTTCCACTCCAACAAATTCTTACAAACACAAAGCTCTTCCTCCTTAACCCTTAGCTGAAACCTACACCACTCCATCTCCTTACCCTTCTCACCTTCCTCCACCTCCTTCTTCTCCTTCAACAGCCTCTTCACTGCTCCAACCTCTTCCTCCTTATCACCCAACCTCGACTCCAACCTCCTCGCCTCCTTCCTCTTCACCTCCACCTCGTCTTCCAGCTCCTCGATCGCCCTGCACTTCTTCTCCAGCACCCTCTTATAAAACCCTAGCTCTTCCCTAAGCTCCTTCACTTCCAACTTCACCATCCTAATCACTCTTTCCTTCTCTTCCAACATCCCCTCCATCTCCACCACAACCTTCTCTACTCTCTCCAAACGCCTTGAGCAAAACCCTAGCTCCTCCTCTCTATCTCTCACCTGTAATTTCCACCCTCTCACCTCCTTGTCCATGGCTTCCATCACCTTCTCATGGTGATCTCCCTCCATCTTCTTCTTCTCCAACTCCCCCGAGATCAAGCCGATCTCCTCATTTGCCCGCTCAGACTGCAGCCTCGTCGACTCCAAGTCAACATTTTTCTCTTCTACAACCGTTTTGCATTTCACCAACTCCTCTTCTAGGTTTTTCACCTGATCCAAAAAAAAAAAAATCCCCCAAGTAACGACGAGAGAAATAGAAATTTTTTAAAGTACAATCTACCCACGAACTATCTCAGAAACCACCTACAAACTCGAACGAAATTGACTCCAGAAGAGATAATAACAACAGAGCTTTACGCGCTAACTACCTGATCCAGAAGTTGCCTGTTAACGACCTCCTTGATTCGCAGTCTGTCCTCGAGCTCGTCTTGCACGGTGGTCCTGACACCGTACCTGGACCAGTCGAAGACGACGCTGGTGCCGAGCTTCGTCCCGTCGACGTCCTGAGCCTTGCCGTTGTGGATGTAGCACGCGCCGTCGCAGTTGACGCGGAGGTTGTAGTGGGTTTTGTCGTTCCTGGGCCTCAGGTCGGCTAGGAGTCGGGCCAGGGCGTCGCCGCGGAGGACGGTGCCGTTGACTTCCAGCTCCTTCAAGGTTAGGGATTCGCCGATGGCGGCGACGAGCTTCCACTTGTTGTTCTCTAGGTGCTCCACGTAGATGTTGTTGTTGGAGAGGGTGAAGATGCTGAGGCAGATGAAGTGGCTCTTGTTGTCGGAGTTGAGGCTGTATATCGTTCCCACCATTCTTTTTTTGTTTGATCAGTTTGTTCTGGAAAATACATTCCAAACCAGATTATAGCAACATTAATTGATGTTACATGCACATATTATCAATTAATTCCGTTCATCAATCAGTTATACAGTCGCATTAATCATAGTTATTACGTAATTGTTGTGTACTCAGAAATCAAATCATTGAATTATTATGTGAAAATAAATAACAGATCAGCAACTACGTATATTAACGTATCGTACCTGAAGGCTGCCGATATGGAGGAACAAGAGATCAAGTGATTCCGATAATTTGAAGGCAGATCCAGGAGGTGGTATTTGTACATATACACATTAGAATTGAATGAAGCTGCTTTGTCTTTCTTTGCCAAGCAAAGTTGATTTTGTCTTTGTTTACCGTTACAATCTACTCACAGTGCGTGGCGTGGCATGCACGTTACACATTCCCTCCACTGAAAAGGAAACCTTATATGCAGAAAACAAACCTCTGAAGGTATCCATTTCCCCGGCCGGCGGTTGCTCGCCGGACAACGTATATTCTTTCCCTTCCAAGTAGGGTTGGCACTTGGCAATAAGGTCGGTCGGACGTCTCGTGATAGGCCGGGTATAAATCAGATTATTTATGATGGGATGTAGGTAGGGGAATGGATCAGGTCAGTAACTTTATGGTGAGTAACCATAAGTAACCCATCCACATCAGCATGACATCAGCATCCTCTCTCTCATGGAAAGTCTTTAATTTTTCCCTCTTTAATCTTTGACGGACGATTTCTCGCTCATTTTAAGTCGAAATTTAATTTTTTTTGCACAGTTAGATCAGATTAATTGTGCTCTTCAAAATGATATCCACTTTACTATATTTTTCGAACAAAAAAAATTGAGCCATTTTTTACCAGCCTATACCATATGGTATTGACTGGTATTGAAATAAAAGCATACCTATGTTTTGAAAAACGTACTATGGTGGTATGAACAAACCAATACTGTAGGATGGTTGAATACATGATAGTAGAAGTATATTAATTGTAATTTACGACTTTTAACATTGTATACCACACAATACCACCCCGTACCGGGGTGGTATTGTATGGTATTGTGTGGTATTTTTTGGTCCTGTAATTTGTTCACCCAGAAATTTATAGATCCAATAGATCATGATGAACTCGTCCCTTCTGTGCAAAAGTTTTCAAAAACGAATTAAAAACGAAGAAGATACCATACAATACCACCCCGTACCAGGGTGGTATTGTATGGTATTGTGTGGTATTTTTTGGTCCTGTAATTTGTTCACCCAGAAATTTGTAGATCCATTAGATCATGATGAACTCATCCCTGCTGTGCAAACGTTTTCATAAACGAATTAAAAACGAAGAAGATACCATATGGTATGCAGTTGGTACCGAGAGGCCAGAATTTTTTCTTCATAAAAAAATATTGAAAATTGATCTCATTTTGTAGAGCACGGTGAACTCGTTCCATCTGTGCAAAAAAAAATTAAAATCCGAGTTAAAACGAAAAAGATATGAGTCAATTAAGAAAGCTAGTGAAAATAAAAATAGCCTTTAATTCTCCATCCTTAGATCTGAATTTTCTAAATGAAGGGTCCAGATTTGGTTATTGATGGGTGCATAACCCATGGTTATGCACCCTATCTTGAGCCTGTAAGTAGAGAAAGGTAGGCTAAAGACAAAATATTAGAAATATTAATATTTTAATTGAAAAAATATATATGACATAGTTAACTTGTTCGAGAAATTGTTATTCTCACCAATTTATAACTTAGTATATATAGCTAAACTATAAGGTAATCAAGTGTAAGATTCTAAGTAATTTTGTAAGAAAATTATGAAGTATCATATATATATATAGACATTTTTCAATAATTCGAGTTATTAGTATCAGTTGATTAGTGACAAATTTGAGTAAAATTACATGTAATTTAAGTAAAAATAGGTGGAGAATAGGGATGAGTTACGTCAAACAAAGTATCCATATTAGCTCGCCCAAAACATATAAAGTAAAATTGGTCAAATCCAAATTGTATGTCATCGGGGTAAGATCAGGTGACTAAAGGGAGTTCCTTAGTCACATGGTTAAGTGAATCTCAGCCTTTAAAGTTCTTTAAAATTCAATGATTTTAATTAATCCAGAAGTATTGCATATGATGGACATCTGGATTCAGATAAAAGACTTGCCGTCGGAACTTAGAACAAAACCTATGGCTGAGAAGATTGCAAACAGGTTTGGTTCTCTAATCTGGTTCGATGATAGTCCTAGATCGATGTGGGACTCGTATATGAGATTGAGGGTGAGCTTATCTATCAACAACCCTCTAAGGAAGAAGATCAAACTGAATATCAAAGGGCAACTAGTTGAATATCCTGTCAGGTATGAAAAGTTACCTATCTTCTGCTATTCCTGTGGACGAATTGGGCATCCCAAACTACGTTGCCCGAAGCCATCAGGAATAAGCCCGGACCCTTTTGGGATGGAGTTGAGAGCTGGAGCGCCAGGACCTAGAAGCTGGCTGTCACACTCTCTGAAGAAGGAAGATGAAACCATCTAGGCTTCCCTGAGGAAGAAATTTGATTGGGAGAGTACAGGATCCAACTCAGACCATGAAGTACCCCCTGCAGAAGAAGTAGCGGATAAACAAGCCACCCCAGAGATGGAAGTACAGAAGGAAAAAGATGAACAGAACAAGGGGCAGATAACAGAACCTGGCAAAGGACTTTGCACAGAGAAGAATAACCAAATGAAGATCCAGAGTGCTGCTGCCCATACACCAAAAGACCCACCTTTGGGACAGCTGGGAAAGGGAGGCGCCCTACAGCAGTTTGTGATGGGATCTACTGAGATGAAACCCCATCCACGCAGCAAAAACAAAGTGTGGCGAAGACAAGAGCAGACCACAAAAAGAGATTTAACCCCTGCACATATCACACCACAAAAGAGAAACATTCAGAATGCAGGAGGAGATGGTAAATTGGAGGAAACAGACGAATTACAGGCAAAAAAAGCCAAAAAGCTTACTTTCAAGACTCTGGAAGAGGCAGCTTCCAATCAGAACACAACTACAGCAAAGGATGGCGATGTGGCGGACTCTGCGAGAGAGCAGATCCGCCCAGCCCAATGAGCCTATTGAGTTACAACTGCCGAGGGCTCGGGAATACCCCGGCAATTGAAAAAGTCAAGGCGCTTCTACGCCAGACTAATCCCGACATTGTTTTCTTAATGGAAACAAGACAATACACTGAAGAATGGAAAAGGAAGATAAAAGAATTTGGTTACTTCGATGGACAAGGGGTGGCAGCAGGGGATAATAGGGCCGGGGGTCTTCTGATGATGTGGAAAGAAGACATCTCAGTGGAAGTGAAGGGTTGTGACCTACATTTTGTTGATATGCAGGTTAGATTGCCAAACTGTAGGCGTGATTGGAGACTGACAGGAGTCTATGGGTGGCCAGAAGCAAAAAACAAGAAGCTGACTTGTGAAATGTTGGAAAGGCTGAGTCAACAGGTAGACTTACCCTGGTTAGTGATTGGGGATTTCAACCTAATCACGGATTATCTTGAAAAAAGTGGGCAAAAAGAACCAGAAGCTCGGGAGATGGAGATGTTTAGGGAAACAATTGAGAATTGCCATCTGGAAGACTGTGGCTACTATGGGAGAACTTTCACTTGGGAGAATAGCAGAGCTGACAACGAATACACTGAGGAGAGGCTGGACAGAGCTCTGGGAAATAAAGAATGGAAAGAAATTTATCCAAACTGGAGAGTGTATCACTTAGAGCGTTGCGGGTCAGATCATATACCTATTCAAGTCAAGCTTGACTTGAATGAAGAGGAAATCACCTGGGGATGGTCCTTCCGCTATGAACCGTACTGGGAAAGGCACGAAGATTGCCAAAAAGTGATTGAGGAGGCTTGGAATCAGACAGGAGGAGGTGGTTCTATGGACAGAATAAAACAATGCGAGGAAAAACTCCTTTCTTGGAGCAGAGAAGCCTTTGGCTCACTGAAACAGAGACGGAAAAGAGTAGAAAAGGCCCTACAAGCAGTGGAAAAAAGGAAAAGAACAAAAGCAATGTTGCTACAGAGGAAAGTTCTAGAACAAGAACTCAATGACATTATCCTCCAAGAAGAAGTGAAATGGAAACAACGTTCAAGAGCAGACTGGCTAAAAGAAGGGGATCAGAATACTGGATATTTTCATAGGAAAGCAACAGAAAGAAGAAGGAAGAATACAATCAGGAAACTGAATGATGTAGTTGGGAGGGTCTATACTGGGCAGCAAGAAGTGACGAATTGTCTAGTGGAATCCATGAAAGATCTATTTGCTAGAGGGCATCGAGTAGAAGAGAGCAGAATTCTCCCTCTAGTTACCCCCAGAGTGACACATGAAATGAACCAGACTCTCCTTGCACCCTTCACTGAGGAGGAGATCTGGTTGGCATTGAAAAGCATGGGACCTAACAAAGCCCCTGGTCCAGATGGTATGTCAGCTCGTTTCTTTCAGAAACACTGGCATATTGTGGGTCAAACAGTTCTAAGTGAGCTAAGAGGCTATCTAGAGGTGGGAGAGTTCCCAATGATGCTAAACAAGACGTTGATTGCACTGATACCAAAGAAGAATAAACCTAGCACCCCTACTGATTTTCGCCCTATAAGTCTGTGCAATGTACTCTACAAAATCATGTCAAAAGTACTTGCAAACAGACTTAAACAGGTGCTGAATATGGTTATAGGAGAGCAGCAAAGTGCTTTCATCCCTGGAAGGTTCATAACTGACAACATCCTCGTAGCTTTTGAGTGTTTTCACACCATGAAACAGAAGAGCCGAGCAAAAACAGGATTTATGGCAGCAAAATTGGACATTTCCAAAGCATACGATAGAGTTGAATGGGACTTCCTAGAAGCTATGATGCTAAAGCTTGGTTTTGCTGAAAGATGGGTAAGAATGATCATGAAATGCATCACAACAGTCACCTATTCGATCCTAGTGAATGGACACAGGTCAGAAGAGTTTCAACCAGAGAGGGGTCTCAGGCAGGGGGACCCTCTCTCACCCTATTTGTTTCTGTTCTGTGTGGAGGGGTTAGCAACTTTGTTAAAAAATGCTGTTGATTCAGGAAGGATTCATGGACTGAAAACTTCAATCAGAGGGCCAATCATCTCACATCTACTGTTTGCAGATGATAGTGTCCTTTTCACTAGAGCTACCCCACAGGAAAGCTGTCAACTTAGGGATATCCTAAAGCTCTATGAGGAGGAGTCAGGACAGATGGTGAATTTACAG